TAGGAGTTGTATTTCCAGTAAAATGTTGGGATGGGAGGAAATTCTTACAGTACAAGAAGCATGTGTTTATGAGTCTTAAAGCTGTCTCTCTGACCAATGCCTCTTGTTTTCCTGTGCTTGTCATTTCTTCTTCCTTTTAGGGCAGACACCTCTGGGGCAAATGCAATAAGCTGTGCATTGTCTTCAACAGCCAATCAGAATGACATAGCGGTATGCTTTGCCTCCTTGCTCCTAAAATACGTATTTTACTCTCTTACATTTATGGAATTCATTCAAAAGAAGTCTAGATTTGGAGTAAAGGCATTCTTGTTCCTAACAGATTTCAGATGACCTCATCTAGCCCTCCCACATCAAACAGTTGCGTGAACATCCGTGATGCTTCTCAGCCTCCAGAGACAGTTAATTTATCTGTAAATAGCTGTTGTTGTGGTGTCATGATCCATTTTATGTCAGTTTTCGTGTGTTTCTTTACTTCCCCCAAACTATTAATCTGTCTAATTGCTTAAAAACATCTCTTCAGCTGAGTTTCAGGACTCTGTCCTTCCTTTTGGAGTTGCTACTGCACTTTATTTCACAGTGCAGATGTTGGATGCCTCCCAACATTGTAGCTCTTCAGTCCAGTGGGGGTTGAGTAGTATGGGAAGGGCTTTTCACGATGCATTTATTAGCAAAATACTCTGAGAACTGTGGAGGTATGGGCTGTGATGACAGATAGCGTGGGTATATTTGTCAGTGAACTGTGTTTTTATTGATCCTGCCTAAGTGCCTTCATCAGATGATGAGAGCTGTATTGTAGCCAGGTGATTAAGTTATGCCATATCTTTCTTGGGCTAAAGGTTCTGCTGGCTCTTCCATTATACTTGAAGCAATTCCCAAGGCTGTTCACAGAGTACCTGATCAGCTCAAAGGAATTTCTGTTTCCATGTTAAAACCGTGAAGTTAGTAGTAAGATGCACTGAAAAAAAAACCTGTCATGAGACTTCTGAAGTGTATCCTACATGCTGACCCCACTCCTGCACCAATGCATAAGTGAACTTCAGCTCCTTTACTGGTCTTTATGAGAAATTATGAGAAATGCCAGATTCCCTGGCATCTGGTAAATGGTACCTGGAGATCTACTGTAGTTTCACCAAGCACTGTGCCTCAGTAGAAAGGCCCAAGGCTTGTTATACTCGTCTACCTGTTCCTTGTAGTTGAAATTCTTGTGAATTTTCATGCGAGAAGTTGTTGGAGGCTGAAGACATAATGACACTGATGGAGTTCTTCAAGAAAGTGATCTACATGTGTGTTTCATGTTCATCCTCTCTACCTTTTCATTCAGGTTTAATCTGGTACTTGCCTGTGTTGGTATTATATGCTGAGGAGGCCTGAAAATGGCACTAAGAATATGCCTTGGCTGAGCAAGAAGGATGGCAGAAGTGAGGGTACCATGTACAAATCAATAATTAGAAGGAAAAAAGTATCTCCTCTTAAGTAAGATGGACCCTGTATGCCCATGTATGTATATGACTGTCATATCTTAGAGGGCTCTTTGTGCCAAGTTATATACTTCTATATATATGTTTTTAATCTCAGTGTATTTCTATTTTTGTCTTATACAAAGAAAATCACAATTAAGTTACATAGGGTTGAATGGGTCCTTGCACAGTGTAGTTCTCATGTGTATGTAATTTTAACCAAGAAAACCCCTTCACTGAGCTTTAATTACCATGCTCAGTAGTGTTTTGCAGGCAGTTATTTTCCTCTGTATTTTAATTTTCCCTTGTGCTAAATGTTGCTTTGTTTTTTATTTAACTCATTCGGTACGTCCGCTGTGTCCTCTCAACACTTCCTCTTTCTGTTTTCATATGTCAGCTTTTTGAAGCCTCATTTTCATTCCAGCTGATTCATTGCAAGAAGCACAAGGGTTTATACAGTGCTTTTGGTAGGTAGGTGTTAGGTGGGCATTAAGAAGAAAATATTGAACAGTGGACCAAATTAATCTGTAGTACAGGTCAGATTTGCTGAAATTCTCAGGCCTGAGGTATTGCTGCTCAATTAGCATTGGTTGCTGCCAGCATAAGTGAACTAAGGATCAGGTTGGCATTCTTCTAGTGCGTGTAAGTTTCATATTAAGCTGTTAATCAGGAAAATACAGGCAATATTTTATTAGCTCAGGAAGGCATAATTTTCTAATATACTTTTTTCTTGTTGTCTGCAAGTTTCTGACCACTAACGTAAGTGTGTGCAGACAGAAGTTCGTCAGCCTCCCCCATCCCCAGGAGACTACTTATTAGATTTATGCAACATAAGATATTAAAAACACTTTTGTCTGTCACACAGCCACGGGCAGGGGAGGGGGAATTTGCCAGTTGCTAATGGATACCTGGCGTTTTTGTGTATGACCATGAAGAACAGCTTGTGCACTTTCACCCCCGATGTTCCCTGAATAACTTGGGTCTCATTTAGGTCAATAAGCCTTTATCAAAACGTCAGGAGTGAAAAATGTGTCTTGGTGTAAGCCGACTGGTCGTTCCCTCCAGTCACCGGAGTCTATAGGACAATCAATGTTCCCTAAGCTTGTCTGCGTGTCAGGCAAAGAGCTGGATGACAGTAACCATTGACTGCGTGTCTGTCGCATTGTCTTTGGGACAGCCCCCATTTGCATACTTGCCGGTGTGCCTGTTATCCACTGAACCATGGAGGGCCTTTAAAAAACATACGCGCACAACTCCAATGCAAATTTCCTGCGCCTTTAAAGCACAATCCAGGCTTTCACTTCCTACCTTCGTGCTATCAAACTGAAACTGTGATCGTGACAAGGCCACAGTGCCTGGTCAGAGTGCTGTTTGTGGTTCCATTGTGCTAAAACATTTAATTTTTCTCTGGGTTTTGCTTTGCCTACCAAGATAGGGGTTTTTTCTTGTTCTTTTGCTTTTAGTGGTTGCTTTTGGGGATATCTGAACAGTATTAACTGTGCTATCACATATGATGTGAAGCCGTACATCCCTTCCTCAGATGAGTTATTCTGAATGGAGAGTTTTTGCTCCATATATGGTCAGTATTGTTTTTTGTTAACGGCATTTCCTTTATAGTCGTGGTGAAAGGAGATGTATTAGCTGTCTGCATACAGAAGAGCACTTGGATATTAGGGTTTACTGACCAGGTCTGTGAAAGGAATACAATCACTTGATTGGAAAAGATTGCCTTCGGTGCTTTTTTTCTGTGACAATTCGACAGCACCTCATATCAAGCAGAGCTCATAATTTTGCCATTCACTGGTGGTTCATAAATGACATTGGACTGGACAAAGGGAGAGTTTCATTGCATTTGAAGCTTCTGTCATAAGACACAGGCTTTCCTTAAGGAATATGCTGTGGGTACTGTTTTTTTAAGATTTATGTTGTTCATTATGTTTTTATTTTTTGAAAAAATTAATGATAATACAAATAATAAAAAAGGTGAAGGGTTCTGGTGGATTCTTTCAGAAGGAACTTGTAGAAGAGATTCTTGGCTAGGTCAAAGGGTCTGAGCTTCATGTTTATTACGACCAATGATCTGGATAGTTTCATTATTCTTAAAAGTCTAACTTGAATACAGGTGACTATAAACAACTTTGATTGCTGTTCTACTGCATCTGACAGCTTGCGTAGGTTATGAGATTGTCAAAACTAAGGGAAGGATCCTGGCTCATGTTTTACTAGCTTTTCTGAAAGTGTCATAGAGTTGAACTTCAATAAGTTAGGGCTCAATATTCAGGGCAATGTCCCCTTCATTTTTGAAGCTGATCATATGATTCCCATTCATCTTGACTGGACTAGGTTTGTGTTCTGGTTATTTCAATTAGTTTAGAAAATAATTGTAGGTACAGTCTTAACCCCTGTTTGAAAATCTGTTATGCAGAACAGCAGTGGAATCTACAGAAATGTGAGGGGGGTGGACAAGATGTTCAGCAGCACATTGTCTTCTCTGCAACTGCTCTTTATATGAAATCACACTTTGAAATAAGCAGTTCATTCTCTTAATCTGCATTATGATATGTAACCGTGATGCCTTGAGGTTGGTTTCCCAACTGTACTCTTTCTTTATGCCATGTGTCCTGTGTTTTCAATTACAAACCACTCTTACCATTTCAATAAATAAATTTTGTTGCTGGCTCTGGTAGAGAATGTGACCAGTGGCCCATAAGGAAGTACTGCAGCTCGAGGAAACTATGCTGAGTATGCCATGCTCATCTGATCTGTACAAAATTGAGCTTTACCTGCACATTGACCATGTTCCAAATAAGATATAACTGTACCTTTGTCTAATCAGCAAGAATATCAGATGTCTCTGACAGCTATCACTTTGCAGACATTTCCAAAGTCATACCTTATCTTAGGTCTGTGGTTTACAAGTAGCTTGATACTAGCCATGCTTCAGGACTAAAGATCTCTGTTTCTGATGAAGTCCCTAAACATTGACAAGAGGATGGGAAAGATATTCTAGAGATCTCACTGTATTTTCAGTGCACCTGGAGACTGACATATTGGTGCTGAGTACTAGAAATCTTTTTTCAATTCATGTGAGAATAAAGGAAGACTGAAAAAAGTATAAATAAGAGGGTGGTAAAACTAATCTGGTAAATGGAATGTGAAACACAGCTCTTCCCAAAATGAAATAAGCTAGCAAAATACTAATCTTGTAAATACAGATCGTGCTTGGGTTTTTTTTTTTGGCTCAGTCAGGAAACCTTTTGTTTGAATTAGACAAAGTGAATGGCACAGCATGGTTTTCAGTTTTAGTACATGTAGACAAGCTGAACTGCATGTGATCAAAGTATTTAAATTTGCTCTTAATATTTTCTTTCTCTACTCTTCCAGGTTTTTTCTATATTACTTTAGATCATTTTGGTATGGTTGACATATTTGTCACCTTCCTAATTTTACATTTTATTTAGCGCTTGCTAATATATTCTGAAAAGAGATGAAAGACATCTGTACACTAGAGAATTAACCTAGTTCCCTGTCTGTTTCTTTTAGGAAATTGTGTTAGTGGTATTCTTTGGAACGGAGTATGTGGTTCGGCTATGGTCAGCAGGATGCCGCAGTAAATACGTTGGAATATGGGGAAGGCTTCGTTTTGCTAGGAAACCTATTTCAATCATTGGTGAGTATGCACAGCTTGCAAAGTTGATGTAAACAATGAGTAAAACTTGCCCTGAAAGTTTTTAGAAGTCGGATTTCTGCAGTAGTTGAAGCCAAGTTAGAGCGAGAGCTCTTGTCATTAGCATGAATGTAGATCTGAATTTCCCTTCAGGAATTCATGGCACTGTCATTTGAGAACAAATGCAGCTTGGTTTGTTTTCCCAGAAGAGCAGAATGTTTTCTTTTCACAAGTGATCTGAAGCTTTGCCAGGAATAAGTCTTGGCCATGGTCCTGTCTCCTGTGACCTCAGGATCCCAGACACTGCACAAGAGCTACAATTGTATTTTTTAAAGATACTGAACAGCCTTTCCTCCTTCTTCCCCCAGAAGCCATTTGAGTAATTTATTATGAGTTTATTTTGTACTCTAATTGAGCTGTTTACTGCACAGTAGAGCACAATAGATGCACTGTAGTTACTCTGTGTATCAATTGAATTAAAATATGGTTTTCAGTGATGCATGTGGAGCTGGACACCTCAATTCCCTTGGTGTCCACTTCAGGTGGCTCCCTAAAATTAAAAATCAGTGTTTTTGGAAATTACATCCCTATATTCCATATATGCAACAAACTATTACTTTTTTTAGTATGTTTGTCATTCCTTTAACATTTTCCCTGAAAGAAACATAATAGTCCAAAATAAATCTATATTTTGTTAGCCAGTATTGAGAGAAGTATGTAAAGACCCTTGTCCTGAAGTACTTAAAAAATAAATGGACTAAGTAAACCAGATTTTGGAAGAGGAGTATTGTTATAGAAGAATAATAATTCTTGATCTGTGACATAGTTTTTTCAACTACTTGGAAACATTATTTGTTGTTGAATACAGGATATGGGTTTCGATAAACTATCTACAATTTTGCTGAATATAAATTACAAAATTTTGTACCTGGGTATTTTTACAATCATGAAATAGTTCCGTTTGCCTTCTCTGTGCATCCTTCCATACGTATATAAAAATATCAACTGTATCTTAAGTGTGACTGCAACTCTAAAAAGTCTTTGACTGTATCTTTGCACTCTGGACACAGTCCATTTCTCCTGAGATGTAGATCACTATGGGTTCTGAGACGTTATCCAATTTAACAGTCTGGAAAGCAGAACACAGTTCAGTTTTCTCAGATATGGATCAAGAGCTATTTAATTCTCCAAAATACAGAGTTCCTTTCCAAAATTAACTAGTCCTGAACCACAGAGACTTAGAGTACAGTTGTGACTGACTTAAACTAAATTAGATTCATACACTAATTCCAATTTTTATCTCCCTTTTAGACCTGGAGAGATGAAATGGTAGTAAGGCAGTTTTCTTATATATGAGAACCTCAAGTGTCTGTCAATGAAAAGACTGTCTAACACAGAAAATAAAATAAAACACACAGAAGAGAGAATAGGTGGAAACTGCCTAAATTCCTCCTGCTGATAAGAATTGCAGGCTGCTTTAGAGTAACTCTTAATTCATCTAGACTGTGGCTGCCTTGGAACCATCCCAGTAAAATTTTTCTATCATGTCTCAAGATTATATTTTCTTTACATGCTACAATAGAGACCTCTTGCTATGTGAACAAAAATATCAATTAGGAGTGATTGTTCAATTTGTTAAAGTAATATTGGAGTTGGTTCTAGTAACATTCTTGCAGAAATATTGCAAGATGCTGCTAACTACTTTTTTCATTTGATTTTTATTTTCCAGATTTAATTGTTGTTGTTGCTTCCATGATAGTTCTTTGTGTGGGCTCTAAAGGTCAAGTCTTTGCAACCTCAGCTATCAGGTAATTGATATGCAATAAAAGAAAGTGATGCTATCTGAGTTAGGTGGCGTTCTTTTTTTTACCTTCTGCTTCAATTCTTGCAGGAGAAAACAAGTCACTGGTCAGTGTCCTGTAACAAAGCAGATTAGCAGTCGCATACATGTGTGAAACAGTGATCCAACTAAGTGCAGGGGAAATAAAATCTTGTTGTAATGCATTCGTGACTGGTGGGGATAGAGGTGCACATACCCCTACCCTCTTTCCCCAGTGAGATGTGTTCTCAAAATCCTGTTTTAGTTTCGTGGCTCAGTTTCATAGCAACCCTTTCATGCTTTGTATCTCTGAAGTCTTCAGGCTGCCTCTTCATGAAATGCCTGGCGTTAGTGGCTGTGAATTCCTGAATCCACTTTGTGCTCAGGAAGGTCACATTACTTGGTTTTCTGGAAAGAGAAAGTCCGTAGCACTGTACTGTTCTCTGCACATTAGCTGCAACAACACCCAAGGATTGCAGTGACTCCCATAAAGGGTATTTTAAAATCTTATTGGACAGTCTAGATCAAATTGCCTATGAAATTCCTCAAAGGTAGGGAAATCAGCTCTTTGGTTAGCTGGTTCTGCATGTTGTTTCCTATCCTAGTGAATGATTTCTAGAGCATTCTCTGTTTGTGTCCAAAATTCCTGAATCCTTGAGTTGTCCTTACTAGCCTTACGTAAAAGAGTCAGTCCTTCCCTTGCACAATCTTTCCAGGCTGTCTTGGAAGATGGCTTCAAACAAGATGAAAGATCAGTGAGTGGAGTGAAAAGAGACAGGAGCCAAGTGTAACATAAAATGCTCTATGTCTCTTAAAATGGTGCTTTGGAAGACACGGACTTCCTCTCTCCAACATTGTTTCTTCTCTAGCATCTTTAGTGTCTTCATTAATTCCAAAATTTTGTTCCAGGGGCATCCGTTTTCTGCAGATCTTACGAATGCTGCATGTTGATCGTCAGGGGGGCACGTGGAGGCTGCTGGGATCAGTGGTGTTCATACACAGACAGGTATGAACAGGCGTTGAGCAGGCTGAGGAATGGCACCGTCAATGCAAATGTCCTTAGATTCGGAACAGCATATATGCAGATATGCTGATGATGTCAGCTTTATTTAGTGTGGAGTCATTTATTTTAACCAAGTATGGTTGTTCTGTCTTGTTCAAGGGAAAAAAATTTCCTAAAAGATTAAAAATATTCACTGACTTTGGCAGATTTTGACTTGTAGTTGGACTTAACAACAGAAAATTACACTTATGAAAACTACTCTGAATATTCCTTAAAATACGTATCTAAATTCCAAAGTTGTTTTGAATCTGGCACCGTTTGAAAAAGTTGTCCAGCTACTTTTTGGGGACCAGAAGTGGTTTAGTACTTGTAAAGTGAAGAGGTTGCTCTTACTGTGTGTAGGCAATGTGCATGCTGGGCCAAGTCATCAGCTGTGCTGTAAATATTTTCACCACTGAGCTCAGTGGATTTTTGTTAAAAACTGCCCAGCCAACAGGCAGTGTTAATGTTTATTAATTGCTGAAATTGCATTCTGCTCTTGCAATTATCCTGTATAACCCATCAGTGTTAAGTAATTTAAATGTCTCAGTGATATCATAATGCCATTATTTTTATTCTCCTTGCAGGAACTGATAACCACTCTCTACATTGGATTTCTGGGCCTGATTTTTTCCTCTTATTTTGTGTACCTGGCCGAGAAAGATGCTGTAAATGATTCTGGAGAAACAGAGTTTGGCAGCTATGCAGATGCCCTGTGGTGGGGAGTAGTAAGTATAGCAATTTCATGTGTGCTGAAAGTGGTCAGCACTGTCCAATGTGGAGTAAAATTCAAGCAAGCATGGAGTAAGAACAGCACTTTGACATGACTTCTTACTGCTTCAATACACTTTCTGGTTTTGTAATTCTGTGAAACCACGAAAGTACTTTAGATGATCAGGAGTTTCATTTGGTGTGTATAGTCTTATGAGATTCCAAAGTGATCAAATTATGTATAAAAAATTTAGAAACATGCATTCTATTTTTCATCCTGTCTTCCCTACTGTTACAGTGATTACTTCTTGCTACCTTTCTCATGATAGTGTTCAACTGTCTAGGATGGTAAGAGTCTTCCTAAATCACAGCTGGGTTTTTTCTAGAGGGTGGTGGGGGGTGGTATTTAGGCTTTCTTTTTTCCGTCTTTTTGTTGTTTGTGTTTTTTTCATCTTAAAACAGATATCTATTTTTTGCAATTTGATCTGTGATGGTATTTGAGAATGGACTAATTTTGGAGCAAGAAGCATCTAAGATACTTAGGAAATATGGTCACAGGTCTCTTCTAAAGTGGTCATATTGCTTTGGAAGGCACATAATATCCTTATTTGGCATTTTCCTGTGCTGTATCTACACATCATCTTGTTTAGAGATTTCTCAGGTTTCTCTGAGGTGCTGCCACACTTTGGTGTAGATGTATTTTTAGCTCTGCTAATACAGTTCTGCTTTCTTGATGTTGTAGTGACAGTTGTCTCTGTGTTTTCGTTTATTATGTGTACTCACTGTAGTGAGGCAGCTCTACTCTGGGATTATATTTTTGTCAACATTTTAATTTAGTTCCTTCTGCAATAGTAACAAGTCCCTCTTTCTTTTCTCACATGACACACAAATACTAGGTTGGCTGTTTTGTTCTGGGATTTCCTGTCTGTAGTTGTTTCCCTTTCCTTTTCCTAGTACAGTTCAAAGAAAGGCACTTTCTGGAAGCTGGTTTTCCTTATCATTAGCATTCAAGCAATGACTTGTTTTTATCTGCTTTAATTCTGTTAGCTTAATAAAGCAAACTTTAAGTGCTACAGATCTTTAAAATGCATGGGCATCACTAGTAATGCCATGCTTGCATTTCCAAAATGTGCTGATCTTCTAGAGCTTTTTCTCTGCTGTTTTAAATCAAAAGGCATTGTTTCTTTTTTTTTTTTTTGGTTAAAAATAAGACTACTTAGAAGTCTTATGTACAGGAATGATAGGGCTAGCACCTCTGTTTCACTAATAATATATATATATTAAGAAATATTTTTAATAAAGCTCTCTGTGTGTGTGCTTATATAGTCTTCTCTCTACAAACAGTACCACTTACTGTTTCAGGAAGGAAAGATCTATCCATGAGCAAGTCTCTTGCAGGTCTCCTGGTGCTGAAATGCATATGTAGCCCTTTTTGAATACAACAGATTTTGTTGTATTGTTTTGCTACTATGATCTGCTGCAGGATTCTTTCTTCCTGCTGTCTGCCATGGTTAAATACAGGCTTTCTTAGGATCAGAGAACTTAATGTCTAGCACAAGGAAGTGGCTTTCTGTCAAGTAGCTTTTTCAATGCTTTCATGTCATTATGGCATTTTTATTTTCCACTACAGTGGTCAGATGACTAAGTAATTAACAGCGGCAGATGTAGCTGCATTTAAAAACACATGCTGTCATTGGCGTAGCCATTAAAAATTGAGTATGTGACAGACCAGATTGGCTTACTGAAAATACAGTAAAACCTTCCACAGAAGCAACACGATCTGTCAGGATACTGAAATATTCTCCTTTCAGGGAATTATTGCTCAGTTAGGCTTGCTGGTTATTTTTTTCTTCCTAATTGCAGTAAATTTATTTAATCAATAAATTTAATTATCATAATATTCTTTCTCTGTTATAGCCTCTATTGTGTTGCAGCATGCCACTTGAAGTGTGAGACTTCAACGAACACAGTGTAATTTCTTTAATATTAAAAGTAGAATTTAGTGTCCTTCTAATATGTTTCTGCTAACTGCTGAAAAAGATTTAGCAAAACAAAACTGAAATAGATTCGATTCCATCCATTTCTGGTGTTTTGGTACTGTAATATTCTTCATGCTTTCTGCTAGGAGAAAGCCCTATAAAGTTAGGATAGTGAAGAAGTTAGCCCAAAGAAGTTGCGGATGCCTCATCCCTGGAAGTGCTCAAGTACAGGTTGGATGGAGCTCTGAACAGGCTGGTCTAGTGGAAGGTTGGAATTATGTAGTGTTTAAGGCTCCTTCCAACCCAAACCATTCTAGATTCTGGGAATAACTGGGGGGTCACGAGGATTCTTCCTGATGCAAGTCTCAAACTCATACAAAAGCCTTTTGTAAGTGTTAAATCACAGAAGTTTCGGTTGCGTTTTAGCCAGAATTTTCTGAACTGCTCAAACACCACAAATTCTGGTCCCTGAAAACCTGTCTCAGTCTGTTTTGAACTGAACATGCAGAAGAGGATAATTCACAACTCCTGTCCCATACACTTTCATAGATATGTGATCCATCTGGTAACGCAGCTGATCTCACTTCTCTGAAAGTGCACTTGCCTTACATGGTAGATAATGCTTCAAAAAGTCCTTGTTAGTGTTTTCACGCCCCTTTTCTCACTTTACAGCATTGCACTTTTTTGTTATCTCGGTATATGTATACACTGCTAAACAAATTCTTTGGGCAGCAGTGGTAGAATACATAATATAGCTAAAATAAACCATATAGAAGGTCTGTGTTATCACAACTAAACTGCATCTGGAATTAGGTACTTTTATATTACTGTGCTTTGCTGACTACAGGCACACCCATAGGGTGCAAAACTTCTAATTAAATGTTCATTGTTGCTGTTGTTATTTATAAATCTGTATTGCTTTTGTATTTTCATATGTAAATTGACCTCCTGGGCTTTATTTGAATTTCCTTGAGAACTCTGGGCTGTAGCTCTTCACCAAGTTAGTGATGGGCTTCTTGAAGAAACCTAAGGTTATCTTATAGCATAAAGATTTGTCTATATTACTGCTGGTTTTGAATGCAGTGCAAGTTGTATAAATAATTTTGCCAGTGGCTGCATATCTGTATGTCTTTCAAAACACAAATTTAGTGTTAGTAAGTAAAATACAAGTAACGTGATGCATCTTTCAGCTCCACAGTGCCAGTATTGGAAATTAATCTACTTATGTCATCCTTCATGTCCAGACTGACAGTCTTAAAGACCTAATATAGATTGAGGACAATACAATCACAAATTAATTAAAAATAAAATAAGATGCTTAAAAAAATATTATAAATGTTCTTATTGAATCTGTCAGAGACGACTACCTTCGGAGAACTTTACCTGCTCACTGTCTGTGGGGCTTTGTGGCTTTCAGTGTTTTGTTTATGGGGTTTTGTTTTGTTGTTGTTGGGTTTTTCTCACTCCTCCCTGCAGCCCCCCCTTTAGCATTTATTTCAGTCGTGCCTCAGACCAAGTGAGAAGAGTTCTTCTTTTGATATCCACTGAATGAGTACACAATTTCCAATCTTCACGCTGGAACGAACATCCTTCAGGGAAACCATTATGTGGGCTGTGCTAACAGTCTCTTTGATCATGAGGACTGTTTGCCACAAGCAATTATTGAATATAGCCAGGCATGGATATTACACTGTGCCTGTTGCCTTGAATTGAATCAAGCAGTTTTCTGCAAGTAACAGCTTTGGTTAAGGATTTCTTGTTCCTTTAATTTTTACATATTAGAAGATAGCTTTCTCGCTAAGGACCAAATTCAACAAAACATTTACACGTTTGCTTACTTCTAGGCATGCATAGAACCATGTCCTATTTAGCAAAGCCTATCAGTATGTGCTTAATGTAAATTCAAAATCAAAACTGGGGGAAGACTTTGCTGAAGAGTTGCAGGAAATACCACTTGAAACTGCACATGCATAAAACTTTTGCTAAATTAGAAGAGATCTGATTTCATTTATAAAATAGTTGCACTTTAGTTTTAAAAATAGCTTCATACAAGAGATCTTGTGTTATTCAGAACGCCTCCCTTCTCAATTAAAAAAGCCACTGAGAACTGTATGCTGATTTCAGTTTTTGACAGAAGTTTTTAGTCTCTATGGGGTTTACAAGTCAAGATTACCAGCTATAGACCTATTACATCCTTTTATTTTTTTAATTATAATTTTTGGAATTACATGTTTGAGTTTTTATGAGGGATTTGGGTTATTCTAGGAGTTGTTGGAGCAGCGATTGAAAGATGAAGATATTTTTAAATGCATTTTGCAAGCCATCTCTTCATTCTGCGGCTACCTTCTCATCTCTGAGCTTTAACTCCATGAGCAGCTCCAACTACATTTTGTTCTCATTCAGTGAAGATCTATGGGGTAGATGTGGATAAACCTTTTAAAATTGTTACTTAAAAAGTACAGATGTGGATTTTCTTACACCTAGGGAACACTCTTGGCATTTCTTTTCCTAATTCCCAAATCCTTAAACCTCTATCAAAAGACACCAAGGAGGTAGGAACAAAAATGTTATCTAGAAGAATACAGAATTAACAGTTGTTTTTTATTTGATGAAACAAAATTAAAGTGCTTCAAAATAGTGATAATTTTCCGTGTTGGCATCTAGAAAAAAATAATTATAATAACAGAAAAATAATAACAGAAAAAGAATCCAAACATCTCCTTCACAAATTTCTAATTGTAGTAACAAGGAAGTCCTTTTTCCAGCTTTGCTTTGCAGTTTTAATTCCAGTGTTTCAAAATACTTGTGACCTCTAGAACAGTCTCTTAGCTTATTCATTTGAAGGATGTAACTTGTATTTTCTCAGAGTGCTGCAATGCACACAGAGGTGACTAGGAGCAGAAAGAGGAATTTCAGTTGTGTGAATCTGTGCTAATCACCAACATCCTTATGTGCACAAGGACGAAAAATATTACCATTTGGAAAAGAATTCAAAATACAGAAAGATCAGTAGGGGTTTTTTTAGCTTTATATAGCACACTTCACAGTAAAATAAATGCAGGACATGGATCTGTTTGCACTTGTGCTGCCGGGGTTTCAGCAGCCTCGAAAGTTTGTGCATTATATTCAACCTGCAATATTGAATGCAGTTGACTGAATAAGATGTCAAGAAATAGAAAGGCTGCTCTGTAACACCTGGGTATATAGAAGAGCATTCGGGCTGTTCTGAAATTTATTGTAGTTCAGTTGAAATGGAGTCAGGGAGCCGGTCACTGTTTCTGGTATATCGCTGGATATTGCTCTGGTATTACTTGCTTTAATCAAAGTGGGTAATGTAAGTGAATCAGAACATTCTGGGTCGTGTCTGGTATGCAGAACAATACCTAATGCAATTGATTTTGAAGTTGCAGTGCTTTAAATTTAGAAATTAAGTAGATAAGGTATTTTCTATTGGGTGACTTTCCCTCATTTGCTTTAATACTTGGCTTTTTTAATCTTTTATCTTGTATTTGCCTCCTCAGTCCTGTGTTGTCTGCCTTTTTGATATCTCAGAATCATGTGTTCTTCTCTTTTATAGTTGTTTAACTACCCAAATTTTTGCAAGGCGTACAGCAGGGATTTTGTCAACAGAATATCCTTACTTCCCTGATTAATTTCCTGTGCTCACTTTAGACTGATATAACCTAGAATAAAATCCCTTCCCTATTCAGTGCAGATGAACATTGCTATTTCTTCTTGCTGTGTGGGTTTTTCTTCATATTCTCTCCTTCAGAGTATTGATGCATATTTAATAGGAACAACATTAGTTTTAATACCAAAGCCTGTGGTGATGTTCATCAGATCAAAGTTTTAAAATAGTCAGTGGATGAAAATGATTTTGTTCCTCATTAAAACAATTGTTTTACAGGCTGCTTTCCAATGAAATTTAATGTGTGAGCTCTTGTATCAATTTAATGTCATTTTGCCAACATGTTTACTATGCTAGAATAGAAGTTGAGTCAGTATTTCCATTATAATATCTTATTTTATAACTGTAAAATTAGTATTTTACTCTTTAGGGGGTTATAATGTGGCTGTAAAAAATAGTTTAGGGCAGAAACTCAGCATGTAAGGTTTCAGCAGCATGTATTTTGGGGAAAAAGAAAACCATCTACAATGAATTTGTAGATAGTTTAGAGTTAAGAGGGCAGAGGAAAATGTTAAATTACATGAACACTTTAATTTGCAACCCAGTTTCCGAGATGTTTCTTAAAAAAACCTCCCAAACAAACATCACAGGAAATACTTTACTTGTGTCACTGATGATTCGTGTAGATCAATTCAGAAGGGATTGGCAGGGGTATGGTGGCAAAGGGGAGACAATCACTTCTTAAATGGATATGAATTAATCTTCAGTTATACTTTAGTCAGCTCAAAGGCACCTATTTCTTTTCACATTTCTACTTAATTGACATGATTTGAAGACTGTAACACAGAAGAGTTGGTGACATTTTTCAATTACAAGGATTTGTAATTTATTTTCAAAAATGGAGGAATAAACCATGATTTTTTCTCTCATAATCTCTTCTGTGAGAAGGTATTGGAGGCCATAACTTTCCCATGATTATATTGTATTTTTGAATGTGAAATTGTAATTAGTCTTCAGAATTTTTTTCCAGCCACCCTCTTATGTAGGCAAGGAGATGACATCACCCCTTCAGCCTCTCATCAGGTCCTGAATTCAAGTGGTATTTTAATAACAATTTCAGGAATACGGGCAAAGGTACTTGGGTACTTACCTTATTTAAAGCGCTTCTGTAGAGTATGAAACAGTCTTGGAAATAGGCCACGTTTTAAACACTTGCATTAAAAATTAAAAACTAATTCTTGAATGTTTTGAGTATCAGCAACTGGTAATAAACTTGCAATAAACACCACCACCTCAAGCAGATAAAGCTGCCTCTTTTTCATGTGTTTGACTGACATAATGGTTTTGCTTAGAGGGTGGACAGTTCAAGTATGGATGGCTTGCTTTACATACTCGGGATTTTCCTCTCGTCTTTTAGTAGGAATGGACAATTATTAACGTGGGTGACAGCCATACCTTTCCTGAAGGTCTTGTCATGAGCTTTTATTTCCCCAAAGCTGTGTTCTTGATCTCTTCACCCCCTTAGCCACTATCTTGCCTCTATAAATCTGCCCTTCTCTCCTCACGTAGAGATGTTGCCCTGGGCATTGCCCGCATTTCTGCAGTTGCTGGGTAGTGTGTGTTAGAGCAGACAGGTAGAATGACCTGTGTATGTTATTGTGGGACAAACTTCTGTGTCCTGGGCAGCTGAAGGCTCATATTGTCAGAAGAAAGTCTGGGCAGCCAGCAATTGAGATGTGCTTCAACTGCTTGAGAGTCTGGCTTCCCATGCTCTGATTTGGTTAGCCTTCTTCAAAGTCACAGATAAAAATCTCTCTAATTTCCAAATTCAGAAATAGCTGGTGACATAAGTGAATTTAAATTGCTCTCAGATGCCAGATGTATTCTTCTGCTTCAAACAAATACATTCTTTCCTTGAGCTCATGCAAATAATTACTTATTAAGCCTTGTTATGCTACATCACTGTGGTGGTAATCTTTGCTTTAGTGTTTTGAAAGGCAAACTCAACAGATGTTTCCTGCATGTGTGCTTTAAATTATCTGTTTTTGCTCTCAGTGTTTTATGTGCATTGGTGATTTGTTAGACTGTTTTCAGGATCTTTACTACATGGAAATTTTTCAGCTTCTCTTGCTATTGATACCAATATTATCTCTAGAACACTTGATGTCTGACCCCAGCCATAGTGCATGGTTACAGTATGTGTTTGCTCTTTTTATGCAACAGTTCTGTAATACTTTCAGCAAACATCTCCTGCCCATAAACAAAATCAACAGTTTGGCAGCCTTTCCCTGAGGAAAGTGTGTGACACGGGCAGGCAGCCTATATCCCACTAACTTCATATGGTTTACAGTCGCCTCAGCCACGAAGACTTAAACTAATGATTTTACTTTGGAAGATTTTAAACATGTATCTTGTTGTAATTCAATTTCCTTTATGTTTTTCCATCCAGTATTAGGATGGGGAAGCAAACTGGGAGAGCAGAGCTCCCTTCAGTAGTCTCACACAGACTGTCACTGGAATAGTTAGGAAAGCAACTGATGTTTCTTTAAAATACATATAAAAGGAGGAGAGACCAACAACCCAAAACTGCCATGTTAATACTTGCTGTAATACTCTCTCTGTTTCTCTTTGCAGGTGACTGTTACAACTATTGGCTATGGAGATAAAGTGCCTCAGACTTGGATAGGAAAGACTATTGCATCTTGTTTTTCAGTATTTGCAATTTCATTTTTTGCACTACCTGCGGTAGGTTATCTTGTACTTTTGCTGTCAGTTTGGTGTTGACTCATTGGTCATCACAGGAAACTTTTGTTGCTTATTCTTTAACCTTTCATTTAACCTGATATCATGAAAGCTTTGTATTAAAATTTTATATTGTCTTTGAAATATATGTAGCTTGTAGAAAGTAACTAAGTAAATATGTGGTGGTATTTGTATGCAGCACTAGACTTGAGATGTATTTGAGAAAAATATGTTTAATTCAAAGTACTTTTCCTGCCCGTCTCAAAAATGTAAAGGAAATTATTTCTGGACTTCTGGACTCAGCAACTTAGCAATGTTTTGGCTTTTTAAGACATTCACTCATAGTTTACTCAACTGATTAGGTCCAAGGTGAACTGTAGAGTTCTCATACATATTCTCCTTCTAGAAAAGCTGACTAAAAGGTGTCACTGGCAGAGAGGCAACAATCAGCAGCCAGGGACACTGATGCAGTTCTTTGCCAAATTAGCATCTGTCCATGGCCAAAGTCCCATTTTCAAAAGTGACCTAGAGCTGACATTTTAAAACTGTTATGGCACTTTGTTTGCACTGAAAACAGGTTCCCAAGTACTTTCAAACAAGAAACAGGGCACTTGAGTACCAAGGGTAAATTCACAGTCAGCGAAACCTAAGCTGAGGTTTGAAAACACAAATAATCAGTGCCAAGGGTAGTTAACGGTATGTTTTTCAGAAATTCAACAATACCCCTGAGTTGTGCTTTTAAAATGTTTGTGCCACCTGAAACGTGTGGTTAAAATGATTTTTTTTTTTTTCTTCAGGTTTTTCAGTTCAGTGACAAGGACTGTTGTGTTTGCAGATATCTGTGTAGTTGTGGCAGAGAACTGGTGGGGATAGTACGGGATGGACAAGAATACTTTTATGCCAGTACCATCACAAAAATTCTTCACAGTGTGAAATAGTAGCTACTAAAACTCCAGTGGCTTTTTAAAATTAGTTGCTTACTTTGAAGGAACATAACCTTTTTCAGGAGAGGATAAGTAGGTGTAGTTTTTTAAACTCTCCAGCATCAGTTTGCCATTAGAGCATATGTTTCCCCCTCCTCATTCTAGTATCTTTCACATTTATTTTAGAAGAGAGATCTGGTAAATGAAATTATCTGTATGAAAAATACCAAAAGCTACTGTTTCAACTGAAGAGTGGTAATGTTGGTGTGTCCGTTTGTTTGTTTTGGTGGGGTTTTTAAAACCAGACTTGAATGCCAGCAAAGGTGTTTTATAAATGATGGTGTAGCAGCCATGCTTTATGTTTGCCCATCAGATTTCCCTAATCTTTGTTGAAGCAAAACAACAACAAACACCCCTTTATTGGTGGGATTTTCTTTACTGAATTAAGTTGCTCCTGTGAGTTGACCCAAGGGGGGAATTTAGGCTTTCAAGCTCTGTTTCATGCTGTATTGTTACCATTTTAAGTAAGGGGATCTGGCTGAGATCACAGTCAAAAGTAATTGTGGCTAAACGCAACTGGTATGGCTTCTGGATCTAGAAATGATCCTTCATTTCCCAAATATGTGATGTTTGAGCATCATCACCTCTTTGATCTTTAGTAAATGAACATAAGAGAAAGGGCATTTCTCGTTCCTTTCAAAATTCTTGATGATTAATACAGTTCTTAGAGGTTGAGCCAAGATCCCTGGCTGCTCTGATGCCTTCTGCTATATGGAGAAAAAGAATTATGTTTTCCTTGAGCAGATGTAGTCATGTAAGCTGATTTATAGAAGATTTAATTTTTACCTGTGTTACTAAAACTTGTGTTAAAAATGTCTATAACTGTGCAAATGACTACATAAATTATACTTGCTCTTTACTTAAAATTGGACTTCATAACTGCCCTACATTTGGAGTCTAGTTCAGGTTGTACAACATCCAATGCTGTTAGTCCTTGTCCCTTTTCCTGAGAGTGAATTAGGTGGCCTTGTGTCAAACTCACTGAAGTCCTGACCATTTTGAAACACGAATTTCCTCTTCTTCATCCTCTCTTCTCCCCTCCCACCACGGATTAACATATGGAAATAGAAATTAGCATACCACACTACCTGAATCATGCCATCCCAAAGCTTGCTTTCTCATAAAAATGAAGTTAAGGATGTCAGGTTGATATTTTTCCCTATTCTGTTATTCCCCTTCACGAGCATTTGTGAGGCTTTTAGAGGGGATGAAATATAATTTCTGCTTTCTCTTAAGGGGCTGAGTCCAGCAGGCTTTGCATCAGGGTATGATGGCATTCACTGTTTGTTTCAACAAGTAATAATAACTGAGTCTAAAAACTTTGCTGTATTAAGTCATTTCCTCTAAATAATTAGTTGGATTTTATGATGCTGAATAGAAGTTTATTAATACAACAAAATTTGGCAAGCTTATGTGTAGTTCTTTCCTCCCCTTAAAAAAAAAAAAAGAAAAAAAAAAAAGTGTGTTTTCTTTCCACAGGGAATTCTTGGTTCAGGCTTTGCCCTAAAGGTACAACAGAAACAAAGACAGAAGCATTTCAATCGTCAAATTCCAGCTGCTGCCTCACTCATACAGGTACTGAGTTCCTGCATATTGCATGTTGTAATTTCTTTCCATTTGTAATTCTTTTTTTTTTTTTTCCCCAAACTGTTGGCACATTTTCCATGCCTGATTCCCATTAAAAACTGTACAGGAGTTACAGATGCAAGTTTTGGAAATCCAGCCTTTAATGTAAATTAATGAGCAAAAAAATACACTTCCAAATTAGTGCAAGCTGTTTAATTTAGCTGGTTAAAATCAAAACTGAAGGCTACCCAGTAATTATGAAACAATTTACCTGGGGAAAACGTTATGAAATATTATGCTGGTAGTAGTGAAAAAACAGAGAGGAGGCTTCATGTAAAACTGTACTTTTAAAAAGTTGCTGCTTGTAAAGACAAATGTCAAATATGCTTCAGTTTCCTTGGGACAAATACATTCTTAATCTCAAATTTAGGAGAAACAAATCAGAGTGTTAAATAGGAAATCTTGTTTGGACTTTTCAGCTCCAGGATAGATGTCTGGGAACCACTGGGATTCTGCAGAATCAGCCTTTTCCTGTTGGATAACTTACAGGCAGGAAAATATTGATCCCCTGTATTATAAATGCAGGTGCAGTTCAGTGTCAGTATAGTCAACGAGATTTTATGCTTTACTTGATTGGAGCCAGCATTGCACCCTGAAGAGGCATTAATATTGTTTCATTCTAGGTTTTTCCAGCTTTTCCTCCCTCTACTCAGTATTTGCATGTGGCTTTAGAAGCACAGAGATCAAATTTAAAAGAAAACTAGATGTACACCTAAGCCATATCATTTTTGCATTCTCATATGACTTATTTCTCTGGTTTCATGAGTGAAAGTGGATTTCCAGGTCAGGATCTTTATGGAAACAGTAGCTAACTGTAAAGTTTATGCTTGAAACGAAACAGTTCCAGAGTTAATGTGAAAAAGACTCTGGTTATAGCCAGAGATTAGCCAAAAATTGTGAGACTCGTATGGTATGGTTTTGTAAAGAATGGATTTTTTTAGTGTTCCCGCTGATTCTGTTGGGAAATCAACACCAAATTGTTGGGAAGACTGAGATTGCATGTCCAGAATGTTTTACTTCCCTCCATTAGAAATGTTAAGGAGGAGTAGAGGACAGACAATAAGTTGCTGAATACCTGTTCTTAATAGTGGTAATTATGATTTAATCATAATCTTGGATTTCTGAAAGCACAATTTAATAAGTGCTCTACAAATAACTTATAAAAAGATTGTTTATAAACCAAGGTGTTTACAAAATAAGTACAAGATGAGAACATCTCAGATGAGTGATGTTTCTTTCCCTGTATTGCTTCTTGTTTTCTCCTAGAGGCCAGTTGTTTCTTCCAGTGTCCTATTAACCATGGAGGGAATTATATGGAGATTGTCTAATCCTTTGCTTTCCAGCTGTTTTCCTCTGTCATTCTGCTTTGCTTTGTTTCGTTCATTTAGTGGTTTCTGGCCTTTCCTCCTCTAGATTTTGTTTGTGTATATGTGTGTCCTTTTTTTGTGTGGTGTGCAAGTGGGGATCTGCCTTTTTAATTTGGAGAGTAACTATTAATCACCTCAGATATGTTTACACATTTAAGGAAGAGTACAGTAGTATTTTGTCTCATGCCGTTCTTGTTTCCTGGCTCCGCTTTTCCTCCTTTTTGTCTTAGAATGTGGTATCTTTAGTGGTAATCATTAGCAGCTGGCAAGAGGGAGGATTGGTTTGTGGTTTTGGTTCCTGGTTAGCCACTGGTACTATTCCATTGTGCCATCAGGTTAATTTCTTCGTATGAATACAGCCCTACTGACCACATCACAATTCCCTTTTTTTAACGGGTAGTACTCTTGTGAGGCATGGAAGAACAATTCTTGTTTTTTTCTGAATAGGAGCCTGAAACACAGGATGCAATAGGTAAAATGCTTAAAGTCAGGTAGGGAAACTGGGACAGAGTAAGACATTCAAACCTATTTTTTGAGTCCCGTTTAGAGTTCTCTCTCATTATTTGCTTGTTGGTAATGAGAACAAAAGTTGCACTTGAAAAGATTGATCTTTCTTTCTGGTTTGCCCAGTGGTTTCTGTTTACCAAATAAGTGTTCTAAACCATGCTGAGTTTGTTTCCAGTGGGCAAATTCAAGAATAAAAATAAACAAAAAATGACTAACATGATACTTGGAAATTACTGTGTTGTACAGGAAGCTACTAATCTGATTTATTAATTATTCCATTGCTTAAAACATTTGTTCTAGACTGCATGGAGATGCTACGCTGCAGAAAACCCAGACTCTTCTACATGGAAAATATACATTCGAAAACCTGCCAGGAATTACCATTTACTGTCACCCAGTCCAAAACCAAAGAAATCGGTGATGGTATCAGTAACTAATGTTTCCTATTAGAGTAATTAAAACATGTTAAGTTAGATTGAATTTGTTTATGCTCTCGAGACTATTTGTTGTGTTTGTTTTGCAGATTATTATTTGGTTTCAAATTTTTATTTACATTTCAGCTTTGACGGTTTCAGTATACAAACATTGGAAACTATAAGTTTATTTGCTTCTGGTCCCCAAACTTGACTTTTTTAATGGATATATGGGTTTGAAAAAGAGTAATAATGACCTAACTGAGGTACATCAATCAATAACTAACTGTTATTGTTTGAAAATCTATAAAGAAAGGGGAAAAGAAAGAAAATTGCCATGTTGTATCAAGGGATTCCATAAGTTAAGTAATTTTATTTTCTTTAAAAAACAGCAACCAAAAAAACTTCATCAGAATCTTTAGATTAAGTAATACTCTGTCCTCTCTGTTGTAAAAGTGCTGCACAGTAATCTCAAGATGGAAGAGGAAGATGTTGTGCAGAAGTCTTCCCTTGTATTTCTGAGGGTCATCTGAGTTCAGCAGTAATATATCCATTTGCTTTTTGCTGAGGGTATGATTTATTGCATCGATAAAATGGTAAAGGTATTCTAGAATAGTTTGATTTATATGAACTGGGCAGAATTAGCAGATTTTTTTTTTTTTTTTATTGCAGGCAAGGGATTTGGTAATGACAATGTGAAGAATTCTAGTGATTAGCCAGTTTTAGCAGGATAGGGAGGCCAACATAATGAGAAACACAGTATAGCATAATGAAAATTATAATTGGTCAGGAACTCTTTTAATTGGTTATAACTCATTGGGGACTGCATTATTATTGAAGACATTACTGAAGAGACAACTAAATGTGGCTTGGTTTGAGTAATTTAATGTATGTGGTTTTTTTAGGTTAAAAAGAAGAAATTTAAGTTAGACAAGGACAATGGACCTTCTTCTCCAGATAGGATGTTGACAATACCACACATCACTTATGACCACGTGGCGGAGGACAGGAAACCTCATTTCAATTTTGAAGCATATGAAAATTCTGGTAAGGAGTTCCATTATAAAATGCCAGTAATTGTAAGGGCTTCTATTATTAGATTTACACACAGATCCTGTTTAATATCTGTAGGGGAGAGGGACAAAACAAGCTCTTGCCATTCTAAAGGAAGAGTGGTTTGCTTTTTGATTTTGATTGGTGGCTTGTCTGGATGAGATTTAACCATCACTTTAATGAGCATGCTCCACTGCAGACAAAAAATCATTTGTTATTTCTGCCTGCCAGAAGAGCTACTGACTCTGAGGCTGGTGCACACATTCCCCAATTCTGCAATTGATTGAAACTACAGGGATTAGCTGTCAGCCTTTCCATGTGAAATTTACCCAGGATGTGTTACTATTGTGCTTGTACCTGAACCAAAAAAGGATTGACATGTCTTGGCTGCACTGAACATAGTCTGCTACGTGAAACCATCCTGTGCTCCTGCCATCTGCTCGGTGGAATAGGCTGTGAATCAACTTTTGAAAGCAGAAGTACTTAAGATAAATGTGGATCCATCTATATTAAGTGTCACTCTACAGTGTACCATAGTACAGTATGGGGAAAAAGAAGAAAGAATTGTGATAATGACCTTAAAATTAGTAGCTTATTTATATTTGCTTTTGCTATAATGAACAAATTAAGTCTGAATTTAAAATTTGGCTTTTTTACAAATGTACCTATCTTAGAAGTTTTTAATGTGTATTACTCAAATTTTGGCAACAAGAGTAGGGTTTAATTTTTAAGGTGTGTTTTATTGATTGCAGATACCTTAAGTACTTATGTTTTTTTCTGCTCAAACTTTTGGCTGACCTGATTAAATGTAATGACCTTCAAAATAAGATAGTAGTGTGGGCTGGCATCAGGCATATTTTAATTCCAGCAGAAAGTCTCACTTTCCACGTACTTTTTTGGTGTGCTTGTCTTGCGTTTTTCTGCATCATCCATACTTTTCCACTCTTTCTTGGCCTCTGTTAAATAATGATTGCAAACTGCACCTGGTGGTAGAAATGTTAAAAGGTGGACAAGTACTAAGCTTAGTGTTTGTCTCTAAATTTGAGTACAGACACCTTTCTTCAAAACAAGTGAAAGAACCTTACAAATGCTTAGATTCCACCTTTTATCATTAAATTTCTAAGCTGATTAAGGACAAAATGATTTGCTGGCAGCCTACTACTGCCAGTTTCAAAAATCAGCTCTATAGCTTTCAGTAGAAGGATTTTCTCTAATTTCTTCTGACACTTATCTTTTTTCTTTTTTATCTGTGTTCTGCTCTCTAAACTGTTACAAGTATACAGGACAAACAGGAATGTTAAAATTGCTTGGTAAGTTGAGGAAAATAATTCTATTTGTGGCATGCCAGCTTATGACAGTGTAATGTTTGCAGTGCTTTTCATGTGTGTCTAGTTTCTAAGAACTCTTTTGCAGCCAAGGAGATCTAGACAGACAAAAATGGGCATTCTCATGCTTGTAATCACAATTGCACCCACAGTTTCATTACAATGAGAAAAGTGAGCACTCATTTATATAAGTAGGTGATCTCCAGTGGGTTCTTTATACTTGAGAAAAATTGCTCATGTATATATAAGCAATAAAAAAACAATTTTCATATAAATAAAGTATAATTCATCCAGTAGTTATCTGAGCATATAGATGAGAATTCATTTCTAAATAAATTAGCTGGAAGAAAACTTTCAGATTTCAGCCCCAATGCTGTGCATTCTGAAGTACATGCATCTGTTCCTGTAAAAATGTGCTGTAGATATTTGTGAACAAATGGGGACCCATAAATTAAATAATTTATTTTACTGTTTGTTTGGATTCTGTGATCACTTAAGCAGCCATGGAGTCCTGTGATGTTTCTAATGTGCTTGCTTAGGCACTTTCTTAGCAATTGAGTGTTCCCCAAAGATTGTAGGACTGGAGCTAGGCCTGGGCAAAAGACCTCTGTGATTTAGTGAGAGTGCTACGAGCCACCTGTAAGTTTTCTGCTCTGAATCCGCAAAGGACAACAGAGGCTTCTTTTCAGTGATCGGGTGCAAGGATGCTCAGGCGTAGAACAAATTGTCTGAAAATGCAAGGGTCAATTTCTCCTCTGAACCCACATGGAACACAGGTGCAAATAAGAGGGTAAAACAGCAAAACCAAACTGAATCCCCTTAACTCCCCCTAATCAATCCTTGATTTGCCCATGTTCCAGTTTATCTTGGGGAAATATCAGAGGAGCTTTGCCAGCTGTTGTAGGTTCAGCTTCTATTTCCTAGCCAGGCAGCCTGATGAGCTCAGTGGACCTGAGAGATTACCTAACACTCTTCTCACAGCAACTCAAAGAAATAAAGAGGGGAGAGTGTAATTCTACTTACTGTGAATAAGATTACCTACGCAGAAAACTGAAGCTGCCAAATCAAAAGTTCAGAAACAAGAAATTAAGAAGTACAGGAATACAGAATGCTCAATCAGCTTTAATTTGGCCTTCAGAAAGGCTGTAGTCACATATCCATATGCTACTTTCTCATAGTCAGTAAATTTTTGGACTGCCCACTTCTACTTCAGTCTTTACACTCCGGGATCCTTCGTCTGGCTTCCCTGTCGGTACCCTTGGGCAACCAAAGATTTCCAGCCTTTTCTCCCTTCCTTCTTTCTCCTGGCATCATCAGTTCAGCAAAGACCCAGGAGCTGTGGCTGGAGTATGCTACTGTGGTTTAGGAATGGTTTTCCTCAATTTAGTATTCGCATGAGACTCTCCAACCCCCAAAATCTGGCCAGAAAATAGTACACTGTGAACAGTAGGAACCAGAGCAAGAGAGGTCTGACCTGTATGATGCTGCACACTTAGAAAAGGGAAAGACTTGAGAAACCTAAAAGTCAGGAAGAAAGAGGCAAACATAGATTGACTTCCTCAAAATGGAACTGGCATGTAGGGAGGAATGTCTTGCAGCAGGTGACACTGCCATGGAGAATGGGTTTGGAGAGACAATGATGCCTCCTCAGTGGCGATTTAATATTCTGCCAGTGTGCACTCTACTAGTAGAGTTTCATACAAACTCTTTTCCACAGTAATTTTTGTGTCAGGTAAAACGTAGTATTTTAGGTATGTCTGCATCTCCTCAGCTGCCTGTCTGGAGCTTTTTCCTTTCTTTTTTTTTTTTTTTTTTTTTTTTTTTTTTTTTTTTTTTTTTTTTTTTTTTTTTTTTTTTTTTTTTTTTTTTTTTTTTTTTTTTTTTTTTTTTTTTTTTTTTTTTTTTTTTTTTTTTTTTTTTTTTCTTTTTACCCCCACCATCTTCTATCTCTTTTTCATGTGCATCTTTACTCTGACTCAGATTGTCAGCGCTCCTGGCCATCCTTTTCCGCAGACCAGCAGTCTTCCAGTGCTCCTTCCTCACCAGGTAAAGCTCATAATATTTCATCGTTCCATCATGTTCCATCACCTTTGTTAATTACTAAATCTTTGCAATGCTCTGTCTGGAGTTGCCTGCTGTGGCACAGAAAATATAGAGCAGGTTTTTAAAAAAAAGCGTAGGCATTTCAGTAGAATTTTGAATTTGAAGGTTGTTCAGGTTGTAAATTGTAAATATTAAAATAAAGGGATTTTCTGCAGACCAGAGGTGTTTTCAAAGTACATTAATGAAAACTCAGATTTTTCCTGGAAAAACTGCTTTAAAGTGTTTTAAATGTTTTGTCTGTGCTTGCAAAAGAGGAAGTGTAAAATATTTTCTGTCTTTCTAGCTAAATAGTCTACTGTCAGAATTGCATCTACATAGACGTCATATTGTATATAAAATTGTTGTGTTTATAATTCAGAAAAAATATCAGTAATTTCTTGTTACTGTGTTTATGATCCTTGATTGAAAATTCGTAGAATTGGAGAATGGTTTGTGTTGGAAGGCACCTTTAAAGGCGTATAGCCCAACCTCCCTGCAGTGAGCAGGGACATTTTCAGCTAGCTCAGGTTGCTCAGAACCTGAGCTTGAATGTTTCCAGATAGTTCAGAATTTCTGTTTTAAAGCAGGGGTTCTCTTATTGTGGGGAGTGTATTTTCTGTCCTTTCAAAGCAGTACTTGGCTCAGTGTTATCAGTTGGATAGTTGTGCCTGTTACCATAGTTGTGCTGCTACCCATAAAAAATAGAGAAAATAAAGCTAGGGATCCCCTAAATTATTTAAACCATACTTTTGATACACTGTTTCATATTTCTGTTCACTCGTTGTTATCCATTGAAAATTGTTGTCCAAAGTTTCCTTTTTTTTTTCCCCTTTAGCCTTCATATTTAGAAATGTAGTGTCTTTTTTTAACATAATTTTTTTTAAACACTGTTTTGTAAGAAAGACTTTTCCAAATTCAAGTGGCTATGAATTTGTTTTTATAAGTAAAAAAATGTTGGTGTTTTGCTTCAGCCCTGTTTCAAGGCCCTTTGTGGCAGGGAAGCTCTCATTAAGGCTCTTTTCTTGGTTATGATGATCTTAGAAATTTTAAAAATAGAGGGAAGGAGATACTATGTCTGCCTCATACTAATCAACTCTTCATCTCTGTATGCTCAGATAAGAGCTCTTTCAAATAGGCTGGGGCACAGTCTTGAATTCTGGTTTATTTTTCATTGTGCCACTCCCATGAAACTGAAAAGCGGTAACTGTGAATGATCCAAGAAAAGCTGTTTCTGCAAATCCATTTGTGTAGTGTGTGTGTTGTATCCCTCATAAGCACTGTTTGGTGATTGTTCAGCAAACACTAAATGATTTCAGCTTCAGCAGTTTTTATATCACTTGCTGTCAGGAAAACTTAGGAGTTTGTGAGTCCTCCTTTCTTAGAAACGGGAAAAGTTATTTATATCTTGTATAAATGAAAAGAGTGAAAATTAATGAAAGCTAAAAGAAGTCTGTTTAAAAGGCATTTTGCTGCATATCTGAATCTGGAATTATTTTGCTGGTTTCACAGCCACTGTCTTGTATGATGGCTACAGCAAAGAGATTAAATAGCATGATACTAAAACCAAAAATTGAAGCTAACACTTCCTAAAATGTACAACAGAATTTTCAGTTTTAAGCGTTGCAAGTGGCTCATGCTTGTAATAATTGTATCTCCTAGCACTTGTCTTATTTATTTATTTATTTAAAACTGTAATTTCAGAGTGCATCCTTTCCTGTTACAGTTTCTGGAGAGCAGATTTCCCTTTGTAATTTTGGACAGCTCTTTGCCTGACAATATAATAACATTTTGTCGTCTTATTTGTAAAAGGTCGAATCAATTTCTTCCATATGAAGATACTAATTACTGGAGTAAAATGGTTGTAATTTAAAAAAAAAGTTTCCTGATATCCCCACTTCTATTCTCGTTAAGTATCAGTTACATTTAGGTTATCTGTTTCTGCTGTATTCCTTTAGATTTTGTGTGGCATTTTGGCAGGGCTTTTTTTACTTTTATAATAAAAAGTATTTTATTTTACAGACAATAATATACAGGAGATTTCATAAATCACTACATTATAATTATTTTATTTGAATGTTCCAGTCAGCTACACAGACAAAGGTTTCTGTGAAGGTGTCACCATATACCTATGATTTATATGGAATTTAACCTGTTTTTATTTGTAAATTCATTTACAGTCATGTAAACCACACTAGTGGTTTTATTTATATGCAGATTTTGTGGCTTCTCAAACAAATGCTAGGACCGTATTGGAAAAAACACTTACTGTTCTTAATGTTAGTCTGGCAGATTTTCGGAGCCTGAGTTTAAAAATGAAATCTGTAACACTCTGCATAACTTCTTGGATGCAGGAAAGTGATGATATGCTAATAGCTTTGCCACTAAAACTTTCAATATCTGAAGTTCTGTAAAACAACCTTCCCAGTAAGGACTTCATCTTGGATGAACTGAAGATCTTGCCACCTCCCTGTCTTGTGTCTGAGGG